GAACTCCAGCTCTCTGCAAACCTCTGATAGCGCACTGAACTCAGCTTCAGTAGATGAAAGCGCTATGAGACTTTGCTTCCGGGACCTCCACCCAACTACTGAGTCCCCAAACTTCACCACTAAGCCTGACACTGATTTGCGGTCCTCAAGGTTAGCCCAATCCGAATCCACCCAAGCGGTCAGCTTGACACCGCCCTCAGCTGACATCTTGAGGCAAAAGTCTTTGTTATCTTGCAGGTAACGTAGCACCCGCTTAATACCATTCCAGGCCTGCACACTAGGACTTGAAGCCTCTCTACTGAGCAGATTGACAGCAAATGCTATGTCTGGTCTGCTCCACTGTGACAGATACAACAGACTACCCAGAGCTGACTGAAAGAGTCCAGTATTTTTGAACACCACGCGTTCTACTTGCTGACACTCCTTCACGTATCCAGCCTCCATGGGTGATCTGGCACCTGCACAATCAGACATCCTGAACTTCTCAAGCAACTGTTCAATCTTACCTTTCTGGCGAAGCAAAAAGCTTCCATCACTTGCTCTTGTGATCTCTACGCCTAGATAGGACTTGACATCTCCAAGCTGCTTTAGCTTGAACCGCTTTCCAAGCTCCTTAGCAAACTTCTCCACCTGTTTACCTGTCTGTGCCATGATCAAGATATCATCAACAAACACCTGAACCACTTGCTGTTGCAAGCCTGAATCTCTAATGTAAAGACAACTGTCTGCAAGAGATCTCTGAAAACCTAGCTCTTCTAAGGCTTCATGTAGACACATATTCCAATTCCTGGCAGATTGGCGTAATCCATAGATGGATTTGTGCAACCGCCACACGACGCCTGGCTCACTGACTTCAAACCCTGGAGGAGGAAGCATGTACAACTCCTCCTGGAGATCTGAGTTCAGGTAGGTGACATCTACATCAAAATGGTTCACCTTCCAACCTCTCTGTGCTGCTATCGCCAAAAGCGTTCTCAAAGTCTCGGCTCTCGAGGTCGGCGAATAGACCTCCGTGAAGTGGACACCCTTCTTCTGTGTGAATCCTCGGGCCACTAACCTCGCTTTATGCTGTGGTTCTCCCGTTTCTGTGGGTTTAAGTCGATAAACCCATCTGCAGCTGACAGCTTGCTTTTTAGCCGGCAGCTGAGTGAGTGAGAACACACCAAGAGACTCCATTTAGTTCATCTCCTTCTGCATTGCCTCATGCCATTTGCTAGCTTCTTCCTGAGGCAACTTCTGAACATCCTCAAAGGATTCAGGTTCACACCTAGCCACACCAACCCAAACACTAGTGGCTTCATACCTTTCAGGTGGCTTTCCTTTGGTTGATCTTGCTGACCTCCTCAGCGTGAATTCTGGAACTGCGCCTGATTCACCTGGATCAACCCTACCACCCCCTGTGTCAGAAACCTCCCCCTCTGACCTGCTGCGCCTTTTAGGGCGTACAGCTGGTTCTGCTGGCGAGGACGGCTCACTCCTTGGTTCAGACTTGACAGAGACCTGTGGAGGGGTCCTGGGACTCCCTTTTGGAGAGATACGGAGCCTCTCCCTTGGAGATCCCGGCTCTGGACTCCGTGGCTGTGGACCGTGCACCTCAGCAACAGGTTCAGCCTCGTCCTCCTCTTCCTCATCTGAGTCTAACAGAACATCCGGGTTCCCGTGAAGACGTTTCCACCCACTCTGCTCGCAAAACTCAGCACTGCCGCTAATGAGCAGCTTAGACTGGTTGCCAGTAGGGTATGCGAAACGCCACGCCTTTGAACCCGGCTCATAGCCTACAAAGATCATCTTCCTAGATCTTGGCTCACCCTTTCTGCGCATGGCCTTTGGAATGAGGACCCAAGCCTCACAGCCAAAAACGTGCAGAAAGTCCACTTTCGGCTTCTTCTGATGCAGTAAGAAATATGGTGTGTTGCCTACACTGGAATTGTACACCCTGTTCTGCAGAAAACATGCTGTCTTATAACTCTCAGCCCAAAAGCGCTGCGGCAAACCCGAGTCTGCCAACATAGCGTTTGCTGCTTCCTGTAGCGTGCAAAACTTCCTCTCTGCAATCCCGTTCTGTTGCGGAGAGTAGGGGGCCATCAATCGATGACTGATACCTTTCTGCCTGAAAAACGATTGCAGTGCAGAACCTGTGAACTCCCCCCCCCCGGCGATCAGATTGAAAGGAAATCACCCTGGTAGAGAACCACAGCTCTACCGCTGTGATCCAATCCCTGATCAGTGCAGCTGCTTCTGACTTCTGTCTAAGCGAGAAAACCCAAGAATGCTTTGAAAAATCGTCAATCAGAACCAGAACCCATTTTGACCCAGCTAAAGAAGGTGTTGGCATGGGCCCTGATAAATCTGCATGCACAAGTTCAAAGGGTTTGCTGGTTCTCCTCTCTGACCTGGGGTATGTGAATGTTGTGACCTTCGATTGCTTACAGGCTTGACAATCTAGGTATCTGTCACATGCCTTGAACCTACACCCAATTGTGTTCTCTGCGGCTCTTTTAACATATGACCACCCTGCATGTCCGAATTTCCTGTGCCACAAGTGTATACAATCATGGTGTGGTGGGACATTTGCACACTGCACTTGGGCGTCTTTGATGGGCTTTCCACTAGCCCCATCTTCCACCAGTCCCATTTTACCACCAGTCCCATTTTCAATAGCCATCTCCACCAGAAAGAGCCTGTCTTTTCTCTCAACACTGTAGATCTTCTTCCCATCCCTGTAGAAGGAACACAAATTGTTAGAAAACAGAATATCAAACCCAGCAGCCATTAGTGCTGGCACACTTAAGAGAGTGGGCAAGCTCGGGGACCACATAAGCTTGCATCTCATAATCTATAAAAGAACAATATAAAGACCCAGATTCAGTCAATGGTCTCTGAGACCCATCTGCTAATGTGACATAGCGTCCAGTTTTAACTGTCTTGCAGTTCCTCAGGAGCCCTCTAGATGTCACCAGGCAATGCGAAGCTCCCGAGTCTATAATAAGAGATAAAGTGTCTCTCTGGCTGTCTTCCAAAGTTGCCATGGCGACGCTTGCACCCCCACTGGGGTCTCTGCCAATGTCCCTCCTGGTTGCCATGGTTGCTGCAAGGCTTCTGCTGGTGTTCTCACGCTTTGCCGTCTAAGAACGGCCGCTTATCTGCCTTCCTTGCAGGTGGCTGACCTTGCATTCCAGAGCCTCTGCAGAACAATGCCTTCGCTGTTGGACTTCGCCTCAGAGCACAAACAACTCTTGGAGACTTTGGCTTTCCCAGAGCTCTTGGAACGGCCTGCACCCCCACTCCTGGGTGCCTGGCTGCCTGAGGAACAGACTGCAACTGCCTTCCTCTTCCCAGCTCTCAGCCTCTCTCCTGGACCATCACACAGATGTGTTGAAGCATAGAAACAGCTTCCCAAAACAGTCCCAGCCCCCTCTGGGCTTAGTGCTCTCACTGGGCATCTCTAGCCCCCTCGGGTCTGGCTCCCACTGCGGCCTGTCATGCCGTCTTCAGTGCCTGCCACACGACCCAGGGCTTCCTCCCTTGGAGCTTTGGCAACAGCCAAACCTCAACGCTGGCCCTTAAAATGGCTAGCACCCTTTGCTCTCTCTCCAGAGCATCAGCCACGTCTGCTTCACAAGCTTCCACTGCTCCTGCAGACTTCTCAATGGGCCTGGCAAAGACTGTTTCAGCTTGTGTACACTCCCAAAGCTGCCTTTCTGCCAGCCAGTAGTACATGCGCTTACTCCAGTCTTCCCAATTGGCTCCATGCAGTCTTTCACTGGGGTAGCTCTCATGGCCTTGCTGTGCAGCACCCATCTTCCTCCCCCCCCCCGGGGGGCTTTAAGCATACTCACACGCTTCCTTCCACTCCTCCAACATCACAGCACCGCCATTTGGCTGTTTCAGTCCTCTAGTCACCGTTTGTGAAGGACTTCTTCATTACACCATCTGTTGCCTCCAGCTCCACCATTTCATTCTTCTGTTCTGGCAATCCTTCATCCATATTGTTTTCCAAAGTCTCTTTGTCCTCTTTAATTCCACTTCCCATTTCATTCTTCTGTTTTCTTAGCTTTTGGGTGGTTGCTTCCGTACCCATCTCTGCTGTTTCTCCTTGTTAAAATGTTATATATACAAACACACATACATACATACACACACAGACACACACCAATTGCTCAGTGTTCCTCCATCCCTCCATTATTCCTAAAGCCACAGTTATCTCAGTTTTCCACCATCTCCATTTTACTCAAACTTCTGCCATTGAAGGAAAGGCTAGTGGAAGTCAGGGGAACGTCTGTTTCAAACTTCTCCCCCTTCCATTCCTTAACTGTGATAAAGGATGTGAAGCCTTCAAATATTGCATAGTGCCTCCACACAACCTATTTCACTCCTGATACCTTGCGTGGTCCACGTTCCGGGTTCCGGGTTCAATGTAGTGATTTAGAAGAGATATTTTATTAACAAGCACACATGTACAGTATCCATCAAAGAAACTTAACATTCTTCAACTGGAGAAGCTGATAGCCTTGCTCTTAGGAGTCTACTCATCTTAAAGATACAATAACATAGCATGGGGGGTGTTAGAAGGGGGCTGCAGAAGAGGGAAAGAGGAGGAGGTGTGGGAATGTGTGTGTAAGGGAGATTTGAGAAAAGGAAGGGGAGGGGAAGGAGAAAAGGGAGCAAGAGTAAGAATGGGGATGCAAAGGAAAGTTGTCAAAAAGGAGGGAGTAAGGAGGCATTAGGAGAGGGATGAAGATGAAAGCAGGGGCATGAAAGGGCCTGAAGAAAAGGAGGAGATGGGGTGAAGGGGGAAATGGATGCAAAGCAGAGCTGCAGAAGATAAGAGAAAAGTGGCTTCAGAAATGGAGCTGCAAAGGTGAAAAGAGACCTCAGTAGCTGCATGGGATGAGATGGGAAGGGAAGGGGAAATGCTAGGGGGTTCATGTGTCAGGAGTGGCCAAGGGGTCACCGAGTGCAGGAAGCAGGAGTGCAGCCCCTAATATTTTCCTATTTTTTTATGTGTTGCAACGGGGAACAGCACAGAGTTTATACGGATGGGGATGTGCTATAATCCCTATTATAGCCTCTTGATTGAGCTCTTCGACTCCTTCTGGCAGCTGAAAACTGAATGCCCTCAGCAGGCTGGTCAGGAAGATGAATATTTCGATCTTTGCCAGCTGCATTCCCAAACAAATGCGTGCCCCTGAGGAGGAGACAAGAGGAAGGCAGCAAGTGAGCAATAATTTACTTTCCCAGGTTCATTGCTTTGTAGCTATAAGCATTCTGCATAACACTTTGGCAAAATAGACACAGTTAGGATAGGGAAAACATCAAGGCTGCTGTCACTTTCTAGCCTGGTCAGTGCTAACCTTCCTTTCTTCTTGCTATACTTATGTTTTGTTCTGTAATTTGAAGTTCCCTATCTCATATCAAGGAATATACATTCAGGAAGAGGATGGATTGAAGATGAAGGGTCCTGTGGGAGGGGCAGGGCAGAGAGCATCTCCCAGGGCTAGAAGCCAGTGTAAGAGGGTCTAGCTCCCAGTGAGAACTGGGAGGGCTCACTTTTCTGTGTGCAGAATAAGGGTGAAGATTTAATTTTGATAGAGGACTCTGTGATTTCCTTTATTTCTTTTCTATTTTTTCTTTCCTAATCATTTTTCTATTTTCCCTTTTAGCTTAGTATGATTTTTTTGTGTCTTATGTATAAAGCTTTTTAATAAAACTTGATTTTAAAAAATGAAAGGAAAACTTTGGTCAACTTGGTAGGAACTAGCATTGCTGCCTGAAGAGAAGTTGGGTGGCTTGCAGTGGTGATGTGTGACAGGGAACAGCAGTATCCTGGTGCTGGCAGTGCTGCCTCTCTCAGGGACAGGGCAGGGGTGGCAAATGTTGGGAGGTGCAGATGGAGACCACATAAGTGTATGTGCATGTGTGGGTCCCAAGCCACCAACCTAGAGATCCCCTTAACTTGCCAGTGCTTTGCCCCATTCTGCTGACCAGCAGTGCCCACTCCCTCCTGTGCTGCTGCTGATGTCATTTCCTGGAAGCAGACCAGTAAGCACATCTACAGATCACAACATAGCTTGGACTTCTGCGTTTACCTGCACCAAATGGCAGATATTCTTCTCTGTTCACGAATTGTCCATCCTTGTCCAAAAAATGATTTGGGTTGAACTCTGCAGGTGTCTCCCATTGTGTTGGATCAAGAAGAACAGAGCGCAGATCGGGAACAATAATAGTCCCCTGCAAATAAGAAACAAGTGACTTGGAATGCATTCACATCAATACTTTTTTTTATTGTCCCACACTAATCTCAAGACTAATCATTGCAGAGACTGATCTGAATTATTATTATTATTATTATTATTATTATTATTATTATTATTATTATTATTATTTTGGTGGGTGGCTTTGTATTCTTCACCTTGAAAAACTTTCTGTACAGGCAGGAACACAAGAGGACTTTCCCCCACCTCTTTTAACATGAAAGCTCACAACCCAGGTGAGACCTCTGGATACTTCAGGCTCCTCCCCTGCCACAATTGCCCCATGGAATGGCACTTGCTGATGGTGAAACATGTCTGCAGATGGAGCTCCTGCTCTTGCCCTTCAGATTTCTGACCAGACAGGAAGTTCCTGTATGGCTGGCTGCATCTCTCAATATGAAACCTTCTGCTGCTCTTTGCTCTTGGGCTACAAGAGTGCCGCTATATCACACTGTTATACCTTGGGAATGAGAAAACCACGCAGCTTGAAATCCTTTGTACATTGCCTAGGGAACCCCAAAACACCAACAGGTTTAAAGCGCTGCATTTCATGAATCACAGCATTGGTGTAGGGCAGTTTCTTCTTATCTTGATAGCAGATTGAGTGAGCAGAACCTATGACATCTTCTATTTCCTTGTGCATTTTATCTGAAGAGAATGATGGAAACAGAAGTTTTATTGTGAATACTGCATTTTATTTCAGATGGACATTTAATTCCCTTGAACATATTCCATAAATCTCTGTGAAAGAGTCCCAGTTTCTTGCATTTTTAGGTCACCTGGTCCTCCAAAGAGCTCGTCTGTGTACATGGTTCTTCCCCACTCTAGATCCCAGGTGTGAAAAGGCTGAAAGTGAAACTCATCGCAGTTGTTTCTGGTTACCAGAGCTGGCTGGATTTGCTGAAGGGCTGGGATCAAAGGCTGTCATATATTCATTATCCACCCCCAGCCCTCAATATTTCCTACTTAGTTTCACTAATACTCATTTCCTCACCTGATCTTTGTCTAGCGTCACTCATATAAAGGTAAAGGACCCCTGGATGGTTAAGTCCAATCAAAGGAGACTATGGGGGTGCTTCGCTCATCTCACTTTCAGGCCTCGGGAGCTGGCGTTTATCCACAGACAGCATTCCGGGTCATGTGGCCAGCATGTCTAAACCACTTCTGGCACAACTGGACACCATGATGAGTGCCAGAGCACACAAAAATGCTGATTACCTTCCCACAGCAGCACTACCATGCTTCCCACCGCATGCACTACCATTACACTGGCATGCTTTCAAACTGCTACGTTGGCAGAAGCTGGGACAGAGCAACAGGAGCTCACCTGTCTTATGGATTCAAACTGCCAACCTTCTAATCAGCAATCCCTAGAGGCTCAGTGCTTTAGACCACAGTGCCACCCGCATCCCTCATGTAATGGAGCATGGAGAGGCAGGAATGAGGCTCAGTCACTTATCTCACAGCAGGGGCATTCTTGTACATTTGTTGCATAAAGAAACTGCTAGCACTTTTGCATAACAAAACAGGCTGTGGTATGGTATCAAACTGGAGGGGAGAGGGGGATGTGTTGATTCCTGGATTGCAGGGGGTTGTATTAGAAGACCCTTGGGGTCCCTTCCAACCCTACTATTGTAGGCTTCCTTATGAAACCTTTAAAGAACTATGCTCCACCCTAGTGGTCAAGAGAAGCCCTGGCTCTCCTCTCTCACCTTGGATATCTGGATGACTTGCCAGGAGGAGAAGTGCCCATTTCAGAGAACACGTAGTTGTGTCCGACCCTCCTACAAAGAGGTCAAAAATGCACTGGGCCAAGTTTTCTTCATCATAGGTGGACTCTGGGTCATTCCTGCTCTGGTGTTGAAAATGGGGGAAGTGACATGTCATTTACATGCATTACATTCTGTCCTTCAGCACTTTATCTTCCTTCCCCCACTTATTACCACACCAGGGTGGCCACACATGCTTTATGAGAGGTGGGGTATTCTCTTATAGTGCCTAAGGTGAAATGGGAAGCTGCTGCCACCCCCACCCCCACCCCCCTTACTGTTGCTGCTCTCACTCGCTGGATCATCACATTTTCGTGGTGAGTGGGCTTGCACATTCCTATGACCCTTGTGAGTGAAGCCACTGGGAATCTCGTACTCCCAGCAGGGTCACCCAAGGCGGTAAGGTCAAAGGGGAGGAGCTAGACAAAGAATGACCCAAGAAGTCATCAACGGCAGAACAGGTGGGTGATAACAAGCGGTATGTTACAACGGCTGTAAAGGTGGACGAAGGCTGCAGCAGATAAGAATTTACCGGTTGCCATGACAACTCATGCCATCAGAACAGAGCCTTACTGCGAAGACTGTTCATTGGTCAGAGTGCACTGATTTACAGACATAAAACAAATTCACGTACAGGCATATTCCAAAAAACCCTCCCAAACCCAAACACCCAAAGTTCCATGGTGATCAGCATATGGTAACAGGGGCAGGATTGTGAAATCTGGAAGCCCTTAGTCATGAAACAGCACATGGGCAGTGGATACAGATTCAGTCATTCTGACTCAAGGAACAAGGCAGTTGAGCAGCTCGGCAGCTGTATCCATGACTGAGCAGCCCTTTTTAGGATCTACTCTGCTCACTCCAAAATGGGGGAGGGGCTAGAAAAGGGCCCTAAACATAGTCTGCCTCTCTTTTTCCCTGACTGGATTACCACGCCCAGTGGGGTCACCACCCAGCAGTGGTAAAAGACAATTGAACTTTGGAACATGGAATATATGGACAGATATCACAGATAATGAGCATCCTGAACACAGAACTGCCATCATTGCAAGAGAGATGTGACGTTTTAACATCAATATTGCAGTGCTTCAAGAGACTCAAAGAGCAGGCAAGGGACAACTGAAGGAAGAAAAAGGAGGCTACACATTCTTCTGGAAAGGTCTATTGGAACAAGAAGGTCAAATACATGAGGTAGGCTTCGCTATCAAAAACAATCTTCTAAAGCACCTGTCAGAAGTCCCTACCACACTTCTGGTAAACTCACCAAAAGCCAACAGGCTACTATTACCAACACACTCATTCAACAGAAAAATAAATTTAAAACTTCATGGAGGCATCCTCAGTTTAGTTTAAGAATATTTTGTTTTGGATTTTCTGTTTTCTCAGTCCACATTTGAATGTCAGATAAACATCAATCCAAAAAATGCTCCAAAGCAAGACCCCACAATACACTTAAGTTTCCATTCCTTTACACTCACATTTCCTAGACATTTCTATATTTGCTTATGGATGGATGTCAACCCACTTGAGCAACTAAATTGACTATGAGAAATATTTGGAGGGAACTCAATGCGATTTTCAACTGAGATTCAGAAAAAAAGATACACTGCTACCTCAGTTTTTGAACAGCTTAGTTCCCGAACAACTTGGAACTTGAATGCTGCAAACCTGGAAGTCAATGTTTCGGTTCACGAACTTTGCTTTGGAAGCTGAATGTGCTCCTGAGCTTCCATTTTCACTGTTGCGCTGCTAATTTGTCCCCCCCCCCCATTGTAATCAAAGCCTTCCATTTCCGATTGACGTGTCCTGAGGTGATATTTGGAGCTTATATTTAGTGCTTTTGTTTTTGCTATTTTTTTTTACGTTTTTGTTTGTGTGGCTTTTTCATTTTTGTGACTGTAGCTTGTTCTTCATTTTATGAATGATTGATTGATTGCGTTACTACGGAAATGGATAAAAACCCACCATCCAAACAATGACTATCATCAGCACAGGTAAGAAAGAATTTTAATTTTAATTGTTATCACCCACAATACTGTTTTATTTATTTTATAGTACAGTACAGTGATTACTGATTTCATTTTATGGATCAATGGCCTCATTAGATAGAAAAATTCACGTTAAATTGCTGTTTTAGGGGTTGTTTATAAAAGTCTGGAATGGATTCGTTTTCCATTACTTTCTATGGGAAAGCATGCCTCAGTTTTGGAACACTTTGATTTTGGAACAGACTTCTGGAACGGATTAAGTTTGAGAACCAAGGTACCACTGTCCTGGTTTCCAGGCAAGGGATTAGTATTCACATATAACAGGGAATATAATGATTCCTTGAATGAGCTGCCTACAGTTTTGAAGCAGATACTCATTTTCATTCACATTTGTACATGAAAATATCTATCCTTTCCTAGCTATTTTAGTAGATGCCTATGGAAGGATGTCAACTCATTTAGCAATTAAAATGACTATGAGGAAATTGGGGGGGGGGGGCAGAGAGAGATATTGGTGTCCTGGCAAGAGATTAGTATTCACTTATATTTATTTTTTTATTTTCATTCCCCCCCCTATTTTCCCCTCCCCGAAAAGAAAACCAGCCCTCCCACCCACGCCTCCAGACTTTCCTCATCTCCTCTCTCTGTTCACTCATAACATGGAATACAATGATTCCTTGGATGAGCAGCGTTCGGTTTCAAGCAGATACTTACTTTCTCCATCTGAAATAGATAGAAATCAATGAGATCCTGTGGCTCATACAGAGACTGATTCTCCTTATGCTTCTTGAGCTCCTCCTTTGCAAATGAACGCACCATCTCTGTGCAGGACAAGGCCTTCTTGTGGGGCCCTGGGAGATGTTTCATGAGCCATGGGAGCATTTCATAAAGCTAAAGGAAAGATCGCAGAAATGCTGACATTACCATGAGGAAGCTTGTTCAAACTATTTGTGCTTTGGAATTGCACTTAAAAAACATGATCTGCATTATTCTTCAGGGCTAGCATATTAGTTTGAGTCTCACTAAGAAGAAGGAAGGTGTCTATAGCTTCTCTGGAATCCCACAATGATTGGATTCTGTGAATTATCCCTAGCTGAAAATGTGAAAGAAAACTATGGCTCAAAATATTTTTCCAGCTCCCTGGCATAATTTCAAAACTGGGCACTATCTCAGGACCTCTCCTGGAACAAGTTAGTGCCCGTTTGTGGTAGTTGGAGGTGGGTGGAGAATAGGGATGGGGGAAAATTCAAGTACGGTAAATTTCATGAGTACTTTTTTTTTTTTTTTTACAGATTAGGAATGGATGTAGAAATGTGGAGAACTGAACTTAAATTTGAGGAAAGGGTTTAGTTGATCATACAGAAGGGGGCTGCTTTCCTCAGCCTCCGATAGTGCTTGAGTTGCTGGTCTCTCTTTCATTAAAAAAAAAATTCCAGCCAATTGGTGGCTGCAGGGGCCTCACCATGGACGCCATCATGATTGCCACTGCTAGGTGGGTATAGAGTAGACACATTTAGTTTCCTATGATGGCAACAAAACGATGTAATTCCCTTCTTGAGAAGATTATTTTGTTCACCTCTGTTCCCTTTGGTGGGCTCTAGATGACCTGTTCTCAAGGTCATTTTTCCATTTTTGTCCCATCTTCCCTCTAAAGAGTCTCCTGTGGTGGACAAAGTCTTCTTTTGTTGTTTTTTTATGGGGGGGTTTGGTGTGTTTTTTATCTCAATGATAATCATGAGCAATGGATCAGGCTGTGAGATAGTAAGTGGCCCTTATCTCAGATCAATTTAAACCTGACCTGATCTCACTTCTCCAACCCTCTATCAGAATATTGATTTGTGGTATTAAGGCCCTTGGGAGGTATTAAAGCCCTTTGGCAGGAATGAAAATGACTACTCACAGCATAACCAAAGCTACATATAAATTGTAGGATAAATTCTATGGCTTCTATCAGCTTCTGGAACCGTTCATCTTCAAGAGCAAACCGGTGTCCAAAAGCCACAGCACATATCACGTTGGAGACTGAAGTAGCGATGGGCAAGGAGGGGTCAAGTGGCTGTCCTGCAAAATAAAATTATACTAATGTTAGCTCAGCTGGTCCAGTTCATATTGAGAGTGGGATTTCATGGTGGCCATGAGAAACTGCTGGGATCTCCATTAGGAACCAAGAGAAGCATATCACATTCCTTTCTAAAATGGACAGAGGTAGTACACAAATAAATCTTCATATGCCAGCTCAGCACCATCACTGAGCATCACATACCCTTTGAACGTGCAAAAGCCTCCACGAGCTGATGGGCCTCCTCTGCTACTTGCTGCTCCATGCCTTTCTTTTCCCGCCACAGCTTCTGCAGAATGACTACAACAAAGCGTCTCTGTTGCCTCCAGGTGTGACCATTTGATAATGCAATACCTATGGAAAATCAGTGAGAAACAACAACAATCATAGGTAAAGGTACCCCTGCCCATACGGGCCAGTCTTGACAGACTCTAGGGTTGGGCGCCCATCTCACTCTATAGGCCGGGGGCCAGCGCTGTCCGCAGACACTTCTGGGTCATGTGGCCAGCGTGACAAGCTGCATCTGGCGAGCCAGCACAGCACACGGAACGTCGTTTACCTTCCCGCTAGTAAGCGGTCCCTATTTATCTACTTGCACCCGGGGGTGCTTTCGAACTGCTAGGTTGGCAGGCGCTGGGACCGAGCAACGGGAGCGCACCCCGCCGCGGGGATTCGAACCGCCGACCTTTCGATCGGCAAGTCCTAGGTGCTGAGGCTTTAACCCACAGCACCATCCGTGTCCCTAACAACAATCATACCTCGGGTTAAAGTCGCTTTGGGTTAAATCTTAAATCTTTTCAGGTTGCCTCCCATGGCGACCCGGAAGTAACAGAACAGGTTACTTCAGGGTTTTGCCACTCGCTCATGCGCAGACGCTCAGAATGACGTCACAGGCATGCTCACTTTACAGTATCAGCAAAAAGTGAGATTTCTCGACAGCTCTACCGTTTTGATTTTTGAAGAGAAAACTGGTATCTGATACAGTGTGATGTTGACAAGTTTAGAGCTTTCCATGGAAGGCCATCACGATCAAATTTCACTTCTCTCTATCAAGCTTCTGGTGATGCTATTGGGAAAAGAATGGAAGTGGTGGAAATGGAAGGAGCTTTTTTCTTTCTCTCTTGCTAAATTAGGATGGAAAATCACTGCCTACAGGAAATGGGATCACAAGATATAAAACTGGGTATAAAATAATGAATATACAACAAGTAAATAACTATGAGTTATTTTTTAATATTGTACAGTGGTACCTCAGGTTACATACACTTCAGGTTACATACGCTTCAGATTACAGACTCCGCTAACCCAAAAATAGTGCTTCAGTTTAAGAACTTTGCTTCAGGATGAGAACAGAAATCGGGCTCTGGTGGCGTGGCAGCAGCAGGAGGCCCCATTAGCTAAAGTGGTGCTTCAGGTTAAGAACAGTTTCAGGTTAAGTACGGACCTCCGGAACGAATTAAATACTTAACCTGAGGTACCACTGTATATGACTACAGTGCAGAGATTCCTGTTTAAATAGAAATGAAGAATTTGTTTTTTATAAAAAAAATATGGAGGAATGGTTGGAATTTTGGGGGAAATAAAGTCACCATACTGGAATGGAGGAGGACTATTGGGTACACACTTGAAGGTGATAGCCGGCTGGTGAAAGACCCTGTGTGAGAGGCAGAGAAGGAAAGATCTCCCAGGGTGGGAGACTGGGGGAAGAAAGGGAAGCACCCAGGTGAGAGCTGGGAGGGTCCACTCCCTTCTGTGTGAGACAAGAGTTAAGATCTACCTTTGAGACAGGGCTTGGTGTTTCTTTCTCTCTTTTACTTTTTTTGTTTGTTTGCTTAGTTAGTGTTGCTGAAAAGTTTCAATAAAAAGTATGGAAAACCAAACAAACCCAATTCAGCCAATTTTTCGACACTGTTTTTAAGGATATAATGTGTGGTGTCAACCAGTTACTACTTCTACTGGTCCAGCTAGACAGGTTTGGGTTCTTTTACTGAGGGTGAATTCTGCACCATATTTTTGACAAGACGTAATGCATCAATGGTGGATATATTCTGCTTTGTTAATTCTTCTGCAACGCTGCCTGAACACTGCTGCATTATTTCTGTCTGTGGAAACTATATTGCAACGAAAGTGGGACAAAAATAAGTTTGTGCATTTGTAGTTTTCAGCAGAAAGTTAAAGGATGTGACAGAATGGAAATGAAACTGTATGATCACCTCAAAATCTTTGCAGGCATAAATAGTATTGACAATGGAGTTGGATATAACCACCTTGAAAGTATTATGAGCACAAATCATTATGAATGTGCAATTAAAAAACGTTTTCTGGAGGAGCCCTTAGCACCAGTAATAAACTGTGGAGTTAGTGAAAGGAATTATTGGGCAAGCCAGCCCCACAGTAACTCACATTGTGTCTTTCAGAGTGAATGTCCCTGTTCTTTGGAACTGCATTCAGAATATGACTCTGTACTTTCAAAAAAAGAGGAAGACATTTTTCCCCCAACAAGCTTTCCCAGTCGTGTACAAAGGTCACTTCAATAGGTGTATACCTTTTATTGTTTTAACCCATATTTAGTTGTTGTTGGTTTTTGTACCTTTTTAAAACCTTTTATAACAAATATAAAACACTTAATTGATGCAACAAAAAACAGCATAAAATACAGTATAAAACGTGAATAACAATAAATTCAGAATTCAAAAATCAATTTAGGGGGGAAATCCAGCCAATAAACATTAGATTATCACCAGGGCTAGCTGGCTAAATTAGTCCTATTTGGGCCAGAGAGGAGACCAGGGGAGAATTAGCTGTGGGATCCCAGAGCGGGTAGTCTTCATAAAAAGGGGAGGGGAGGGGAGGGGAGGAAGGGGAATAAAAGACCAGGCTAAATTCAAATTGAAAGCCAGGCAGAATAGCTCTGTCTTACAGGCATTCTTAAGGAAATCAGCCCTGAGTGCTCACTGGAAGGAGAGATCGTGAAGCTGAGGCTCCAAGATTTTGGCCACCTTATGAGAAGAGAAGACTCCCTGGAAAAGACCCTGATGTTGGGAAAGATGGAGGGCACAAGGAGAAGGGGACGACAGAGGACGAGATGATTGTACAGTGTTCTTGAAGCTACCAGCATGAGTTTGACCAAACTGCGGGAGGCAGTGGAAGACAGGAGTGCCTGGCGTGCTCTGGTCCATGGGGTCACGAAGAGTCGGACACGACTAAATGACTAAACAACAACAACAACAACACAGGCCCTGCGGAAGGAAGTTAAATCCTGCAGGGCCCTGGTCTCATGGGACAGAGCATTCCACCAGGTCAGAGCCATCACTGAGAAGGCCCTGGCCCTGGTAGAGGATAATCTGACTTACTTAGGACCCGGGACTTCTAAACTATGATTATTCATAGTTTAAACTGGTTTTATATCTCTGTAAGTTGCCTTGAGACATACATGCAAGAAGCAATTCATAATGTATAATGATGATAGTAACTATGTGATTGCAAAGTTCACATGTTATATTTGCCACATGAGTCCATGCCCAAAACATGTTGGAAGAGCTTGTTGGGAGAAGCAGTGTGTTGTGTTTCTTAGAGATGTCCTAATCAATCAAATCTTCACATGTGCTGAAGCCAGGTTTTCATGGACCCAAACGAATGTGTCATTTGATAGCATGAGAACTAGCCACTCTGAATGACCTCAGCCCCTAGGTGTTGGCTCCTAGGTAATGCATTTCCCGTTGTGTGCAGCAGTAATAGAGAACCTTTGTTCTGTTTTTCAGGACAGCCCTTTAAATTCTTATTCTTCACTACTTACCCTTTCCTTTCATCAGAGTTCTAAGGAAAGGAGTCTCTGGTCGCTCGTCTAATTCTTCAGAGTGGTCAATGAGCGCTTCTTTCACTGCTTGGAATCCAGACAGTACTACAATGGGTAGATGTCCAAACCATATGGTGTAAATATTTCCATGTTGCTTTCCCAGCTTCCATTTGGGTCAAAAGAGAAGAGAGGAATGATGTGTTCAAAAAATGCAGTTGGATATTTCAACTTAATACGAGAACGTCATCCTCCCTCACCTCTTCAGTTTCTCACTATGTGCAGTTCTCTTGCTAGCATCCTTTCCCCTTCCCTCCCTCCCTCCCTCCCTCCCTCCCTCCCTCCCTCCCTCCCTCCCTCCCTCCCATAATTCCAACCCATTTGTTTTACTCCCTCCGAGCCATGTTGCCTCTGCCTAGGATCAGAGCAGCAGAGACACTTCATAGTAACCAGCCCTCCTGCGACAGACAAGAAGATGCACAAATCGTTGCCAGAAAATGATCTTGCCACAAACTTTGTGTGTGCAGGGATGTGGAACCTGTAGCCCACCAGATGCTTTTGAACTAGCACTCCCACCATCCCTGACTATTGGCCATGGTGGTTGGGGCAGATGGGCATTGTAGTCCAAAACATCTGGAGGGTACCAGGTTGGCATAGGCTGGATTAGAGCCCTGAGTCAGCTTTCAGACCCACGGTGGGTTACAGCAGGAGCATCACCACCATGCAAATATATGGCAAGGAATTCAGATGATACATGTCTGGGCTAGAGAATATTACCAATTCCAATGTTTTAAAAGTTAATATGTTCATATCCGATGGTTGAGTAATTTTGTATTTTTTGAAAAGTTTTCGCTGGAAAAAAGCTCATAATTGTATTTAAGAAACAAACAAATAAACTAAACTATGGTCTGACAAAGAGTAAATGCTTGCGGAGGAGGCAATGGAAAGGTGCCTGTTCTGTTTGTCTCTTGTCTTCTCTAGTTACACGTGAGCTGCTGCTGAGAAAGGCTGGTGTGCTCCTGCTTCATTGCCAGTTGAACTTGTTGCCCTTCCGTCTGTTGGAAGGGGAGAAGTACACAGCATTCTAGGCCAGGGATGTCCAACAGGTAGATTGGGGTGTGTCTGTGGTAGATCTTGTGGGGCCCCTGAACCCCCCTGAAAGCTCAAGAACTTTGGCTCCCTAAAAATGCTCAACAAATTTGGTAGATCACCGCCAGTTTTTTATAGTGGGAGTAGAACTCAGTCTCTTGAAAGTTGGACATACCTGTTCTAGGCCATGTTGCAGCATGCAGTAGAACAAAAGGAAGACAAGATCAAGAAGATACTGTAAGAAGCTGTTATATTAATTCAGCTTCTTGTGTTACACAATGTGTTTTGGAGATAAGTGCCCTTCAACCAGCAGCTATGAACGACACACATTAAAACTAATATAAAGGGCAAGATTCCGATTAATACTGAAAAGCACAAAACCATACAAAGTAGGATAATGGCAGCATGGGTAGCTGTGTGAAATCAGGGGAAAACACAAGGCAACATAAAACGTTGCATTTTCTATGGGCCAACTTGTAAGTGGTAGCAAGACTTCATTTCCAAGTGAAATTAGTTTCATGGCTTTCTAAATGACTCTCTGAAGTTGATTTCACAGCCCTGGCCTTGTAATCTTGGAGAGAGTATTACCTGGAGATTAGCACTTACTGTAAGCTTGCCATACATCAGGAAAATTCCTGACATGTCCTGACAGGAATCGGCAAAATGTCAGGAACACTGAGATGTATGGCAACCCAATGGAAAAAGCTCAACAATTTCCTAAAAAATGGCAACCCTAGTTTACCGCAGAGATCCTTTAAGAAGATTTTGGTATTTTAGTTTATAATTTGTTTTTTATAAGTGCTTCTGGTTTGAGTGAAAAAGATTGAATAGGGCATGGAGGTTAGTGCCTGTTGAGAGGCTGCTGTGAATGAATGCTGTGGTCTGTCTTTTTTTTGTAATAATATTTTATTCTTTTTTCATATAGAAAGTTACATTTCTTAACCTTGGTAACCTCAAGGTAAGATTACTTGCAATGTGTTATACATAGGGCTGCCTCTGAAGACAGTTTGGAAACTTCAGCTAGTGCAGAATTCAGCGGCCAGGTTGCTCACCGGAACAAGAGCAGATTACATCGCTCCTGGTCCGGCTGCACCAGCTACCAATTAGTTTCTGGACCCAATTCAAAGTGCTGGTTTTGACCTAAGAAGTCTTAAATGGCTCAGAACCACAATACCTCAAGGACCGCCTCTTTCGATATGATCTTACCCGGACCCTGAAATCATCTTCTGAGGCCCCTCCTTGTGTTCCTCCTCCATAAGAGTTCCAGAGGGTGGCAACACAAGATTGGGCCTTCTCTGCAGTGACTCCCCATCTGTGGAATGCTCTCACCAGGGAAGTTCACCTGGCAAAACCTTCCTTTTTAACTAGGCCTTTGGTTGATTTCATTGACATCCTATGCCCTTTTAAAATCTTATTTTTTTCTGTGGGGGCGTATTATTGGGTGGTTAATAATAATAATAATAATAATAATAATAATAATTCCAATTAACAAAACAATTGGAATATAGAAATTTTCCATATAGAAAGTTTACATTTGTTACTCAACAATTATACAGTGGTACCTCGGGTTACATACAGCTTCAGGTTACATACACTTCAGGTTACAGACTCTGCTAACCTAGAAATAGTACCTCGGGTTAAGAACTTTGCTTCAGGATGAGAACATAAATCATGCTCTGCTGGCGCGGCAGCAGCAGGAGGCCCCATTAGCTAAAGTGGTGCTTCAGGTTAAGAACAGTTTCAGGGTAAGAACGGACAGTTTAAGAGGCTAATGTTGGAGTAAATTAGCCTCCCGAGTTTTCCCAGGCGATGGGAAAATGCTGCCTCGTCCGCAGTTGCCAATAAATCACCCCCGAGTTCGAAGGAAGGAGGGGGTGGGGGCACTGGACGGAAAGCCCTCGAGTGAGTTTTTGGATCTCCTGGACGCTACTTCTGATTGTGATCCTAGTTGCATTGCTCAAGATAAATAATTGGAGAAGAGTAAATGCATATGTTTCGAGCGAAGGAAAGGGTGTACTGATTGCTAATTAAATCGACCACTGAGAAGCTGAATGACGGGTTGGACTGAACAGAAGACTACATCAAATAATCACAACTATGTCGGTATGTTGAAACGGATCGGAAAGGGGACTTTTCACTTTTTCAATATGATTTACCTAACAACCCCTCCCCAAGAAGAACCGCCACATGACTGATAGTAAGTGAGATGGGAAAATCAACTGTGTGGAAAAATTATCAACTAAAGGCTCTGTTTTGTGGAAGATCTGGAAAGGTAACAAAAGGCTTTTGGATGACACAGTTCTAATTGGGAACCGCCATTATGAGACATACTTTGTGGCAAGATTTACAGTCAAAGGGGGAGGGAGCCACTGTTCTGTTATCATATCTGAATTCTACGTTTGATTTGGCAAGAACTCCCCTGGAAAGGCTGATTTATGAAGCAACTGGTCTGGGAAAGTTAATGAGCAGACGCTTAGACTGTATTTTATGGGAACTGCTGAAATGGTGCCTGCCGTTTGAATAGGACTTTTGGATCAGCGTGAAAATCCACACAGGACTATGATAATGTTTGCTTCAACTCGCTTGTGGAGATAACTCAGAGGTTATTAAGAAGAAAAATGATAACAGCAAGAAGATTGGAAGACGGAATTTGTACAGGATAACAACAAAGAGATGGAAAGATGGGACTTGTGAACATCAAAGCAGCAGAAATATGAGATGATTGGACCCTTTCTGAACTCGAAGCATGGGTACCCCTCCAACAAAAAATTTAAATTCGGCTAAATATTTGGAGTTTATTATGTATTGGTATAATTTGGAATTAATGTGATATGATTGGTTTGTTAACTGGAAATTTAATAAAAATTATTTAAAAAAAAAAAAAAGAATGGACCTTCCGGAACAAATTAAGTACTTAACCCAAGGTACCACTATATTCCAATTCAACAAAACAAGTGATTTCCCACTCACCCAATATCAATGTTTATAACTCGAATTACATACGATTGCATTTTAAAGTTCCATCTTATTTAATTTGATCCTCTCTAACATGTTTCTTAATATATTCTGCTGTTTTCTTGCAGTTTAAACCCCACTGTGGTCTTTGCATATGGGAAATAACTTTTTATATAGACTGGAAAGGTTTTCTAATCTTCTTTAAAAGATTCTAAATTTGTATCTTTTATCAATTTTTGCCATCTCTGCATATTCCAAGATTTTCATAAAGCATTCTTCCTTTGAGGGTGTTCTCTCCTCCTTCCTCAGTTTAACAGGCATACAATAAATATTTTTGATCTGTAGTTTTTAATGCGTATTTTCAACTATTATATGGTTTTGTGCTTTGCAATATTAATAATAATACTATTTACATTATTACTATTATTTGTATTGCTTACAGCTTCTGACAACGGAGGCTTATGGCATTTACCATTTTAACCCATGCCATCGTTGAAGCTGAAATATCACAATTGTTGGTGGAAATAGATAAAACAATTGCTGGCATCGGACAGAGTTATTACTAAGCAATAAGTACCTGAATGAGAGTATTTTCATCAATCTTGAATCCAAACCTCCATGTGGCTCCAATGAGAGGAAGCTGGAGAAGTCCTGGAGGATAATGCCTGCGTGACCAGAGCTGTTTCAGGTAGTGCAGAATCAGAAGAGCCACCAGCAGAGCCCATACCTCCATCCTTCTCTTGCTGTCTCTTTCTCCTTAATTTTTTCTAGGTTGCCTGGTCAGGTTCAACTCTCTTTCTCTAAGGAGTTTTTGCTTTCCTGAAAGACATCAGCAGTATTGTCTGTTTTTATATGCTCAGTTATTAAAAACAAATAAGCAACAATGGGTGCGACACCATTTGTAAGTAGCCTTGGAATGTGATACAATCAAACACTAGTACAATCAAATGCTATAATCATTTTAATATGTGTCATGCAGATGTGACGAAGTGTGCTTTATATCAGGCACATTGAACTCCCAAGAGACTGTGATCTACTTCCAGTAGCTCGAGAGTCATCTGGTATTTAATATGGGTATCTTTCCCTCTTATGGAATTGCTACTCCTTGTAACCTGTGCCTTGGGAAGGTACCAATCTGATGTAGGCATCAAAGCCTTCAGAAAGAACTCTGAGTTCAAGCTCTTATTAATCCAGCAATGAGGGCCAGGATAGTAAATGCATTACAATTGCAAAAGCCAACAAACTTCTACCAGCAGTTGAATCGAACCACAGTGCAGTACAATTGCTACTTCCACAGAGCACTTGCTAGTTGCAATCCATCAGGGGTGCCAACTTGAATAAAATATGAGGAAGGGGGCAAGTGAGCCCCACCTCGTATAATCAATCACATAATGTGGTTCACGTCCACCATTAGAATGGCAATTGCCATGAAATTTGGGGGAGCCAGGACCCCTCAAATATTTTAGAGGGGCACTAAAGGGACCTCAGCCCCTAGTTCTTCGTCCCTAGGTAACCCATTTCCTGTTGAGTGCAACAGTAATAGAGAACCTTTGTTCTGGACAGCCCTTTAAATGTTTTCTCATAGTCATGAGGAAAGGAGTCTGTGGTTGCTCGTCTAATTCTTCAGATGGCTAGGCAGCACACCCCCAGAGATGCCTCCTGTTGGCATTCCACTGCCCAAGGCAGCTGTCACAGCCTGCCTTGTGGGTGGACCGGCCCTCTGCTTCATAGCTGGTTATGATAAGAAATCCACACACACTTTCCTGAATTTACAGCGGTAGCTGCTAGTGCTAGATTTCAGGATCTGTGAGTTGGCATAGTAACACAATCCTGGCATGAAGAGAGGGAACCAATGGAAACTCTGGCAGCAGATATTCAAAATGTGTGCTACATATTTCACTGCCTAATGGTCACCACCATATAATAGTCAAGCTCCTTTTTTCAAATCAGTCCCAAAGCATTCACCACATAATGGTCACAGGGCATTCTAAGCGTGCATGAGAATGCCTTGCCCCAGTTTGGACTACCTATTATCCTTCCTGTGCCTGTTCACACATATTTTGTGCATCCTAATCACACAAAAAACAGTTAGTAATAAGTAATAAGCATTATAAACATAATTATGTTTCTTCATAAAGACTGTTTCCTCGATTAAGGGTCGTTCCTTGGTTTTTCACCAAATAATCGTCGCACCCCCCCCCTTTTGAAAATAATAATTGGCATAAAAATGTGACAATTATGGTGAAATATGGTACTTAACAGTAAACATATTTAAACATTCATTTGTCATCATGATAAGCATTGTTCAAATAGGGAAGGATGAAAATATATTTTGGCCTTTCTAGTATGTGGAGATGGATGACACAGGAATTTGAAGTCATACTCTAGTTTTAGAGCATTTTGTTTAGGATTTTCTGTTTTCTCAGTCCACATTTGAATGTCAGATGAACATCAATCCGAAGAAATTTATGTACAGAGGGAATGCTCCATAGGCAAGACCCCTTAACACACTCAGGTTTCCACTTCTTTCCTCTCACATTTTTAACAATGCTAATGGATGGATGTCAACCCACTTTAGCAACTAAATTGACTATGAGAAATATTTGGTGGGAACTCAATGCCATTTTCAACTGAGATTCAGGAAAAAATATGCTGGTTTCCAGGCAAGAGATTAGTATTCACTTATAAGAGGGAATATAATGATTCCTTGGATGAGCAGTATTCAGCTTCAAAGCTGATACTTACTTTCTCCATCTGAAATAGATAGAAATCAATGAGATCCTGTGGATCATGCAGAGACTGATTCTCCTTATGCTTCTCTAGCTCCTCCTTTGCAAATGAAAGCACTATCTCCATGCAGGACAAGGCCTTCTTGTGGGGCCCTGGGAGATGTTTCATGAGCCATGGGAGAATTTGCTGTTGAAATGGAATACTCAGGATGAAACGGTGAAATCTGCTATGATTAAATGGGCACAAGATGTTGGACATAACATAATGATGGCTGACTGGGAACAGTTATGCACCACAGGTATGAAGTTTACGGCATGTAATGCCTTAAGAGAGAATCTAATGAAAATGATCTATAGGTGGTACATAACACCAGTCAAGCTTGCAAAAATCTACCATTTGCCTGAAAACAAATGTTGGAAATGTAAGGAGACTGAAGGTACATTCTTTCACCTTTGGTGGACATGACCAAGGATTAAGAACTTCTTTATAATGAAATGAAAGAGGTATTTAAATATACCTTCCTGAAGAAACCAGAGGCCTTTCTCCTGGGCATGGTCGGCCAATTGGTGCCAAAGAAGGATAGAACTTTTTTTATGTATGCTACAACAGCAGCAGGAATACTCATCGCAAACCATTGGAAGACACACGATCTACCTACCCGGGAAGAATGGCAGATGAAGCTGATGGACTACATGGAATTGGCAGAAATGACTGGCAGAATCCGAGACCAGGGAGAAGAGTCGGTGGAAGAAGATTGGAAAAAATTCAAAGTATATTTACAGAAATATTGTAAAATTAACGAATGTTAGAAGGATGCTGGAATGAAGTTACATGGTTTTAGCAGAAATGTTATAAAGAACTAAGTAAAAATAGATTGTTAATGGGCCAAAGTGTAAAATTTAAGGTCAGATTGTGGTAAGATAAATTATAGAACAAAAATTGAGAAAGATGGAAAGGATTTGCTGAAATAGCTAATTGAACTAGAATACAAAAAAGGGAGGTGTGAGGAGGTCGATGAAACAAGTAAATGAAAGATAAAGATACGGAAATACTGGATGTGTTTTTAAATGTTTTTGTTTTTCTTATTGTTCTGTTGTATTGTTTTTTGTATTGTATTTTTCTGTTGTATTGTTTGGGACACGGGTGGCGCTGTGGGTTAAAGCCTCAGCGCCTAGGAGTTGCCGATCGAAAGGTCGGCGGTTTGAATCCCCGCGGCGGGGTGCGCTCCTGTCGTTCGGTCCCAGCGCCTACCAACCTAGCAGTTCAAAAGCACCCCCGGGTGCAAGTAGATAAATAGGGACCGCTTACCAGCCGGAAAGTAAACGGCGTTCCGTGTGCTGCGCTGGCTCACCAGATGCAGCTTGTCACGCTGGCCACGTGACCTGGAAGTGTCTGCGGACAGCGCTGGCTCCCGGCCTATAGAGTGAGATGTGCGCACAACCCTAGAGTCGGTCAAGACTGGCCCGTACGGACAGGGGTACCTTTACCTTTACCTTATTGTTTTTTGCCTTTCTTTTTCTCTTCTTTGATGTATTGTAAGGTATTGTTTTGTTTTGTTTAACTTTTTATTGTTTCTTTTTTTCTTTTTTTCCTGTAACTATTAAATCTGTAATAAATATCATTTAAAAAAGAGAGAGAGAATTTCACAAAGCTAAAGGAAAGATGGCAGAAATGCTGCCATTACCATGAGGCAGCTTGGTCACACCATTTGTGCTTTGGATTGGCACTTTAAAAAACATGATCTGCATTATTCTTCAGGGCTAGCATATTAGTTTCTCACTAAGAAGAAGGAAGGGTGTCTATCGCTTTTCTGGAATCTCCCAATGATTGGATTCTGTGAATTATCCCTAGCTGAAAATGTGAAAGAAAACTATGGCTGAAAATATTTTCCCAGCTCCCAGGCATCATTCCAAAACTGGGCACAATCAGAGGACCCCTCCTGGAACAAGTTAGTGGCCTTTTATGGTAGGTGAGTGTGGGTGGAGAATAGGGTGTGGGGGGAATTCAAGTAAGTTCACATTTAAAAGCAAATTTGCCTAATACACAAATGGAAAGACAGCCATCGTTCAAAATGTACACTTCTCCATTTTTTAAATTTTTAATTGTAGTTATTAAATCTTCCAGTTTGCCAGTCAAGTAATTCTGATCTTTCATCACAAAAAAACCTAAACCTTGACACATTAGTTGGGGTGTATGAAAACCTGGCTGCACATGTGGAGATTTGGGCGATTATGGCATCTCTTAGGAGCACAAAAGACTGCTTCTCTCGGCAAGCTCTTCCAACATCTTTTGGGCACAGACTCATGTAGCAAAGGCTCCTCCAGAAAACTTTTTGATTACACATTCATCATGATTTGTGCTCATAATAATTTCAAGGTGGTTACATCCAACTCCATTTTCAATACTATTTATGCCTGCAAAGATTTTGAGGTGGTCATACAGTTTCATTTCCATTCTATCACATCCTTTAACTTTCTACTGAAAACTACATATGCACAGACTTCTTTTTGTCGCACTTTTGCAATAGATATAGTTTCCCCAGACAGCAATAATGTGGGAGTGTTCAGGAAGCATTACAGAAGAACTAACAAAGCGGAATATTCTTGTCAAGAATATGGTGCAGAATTCACCCTCAATAAAAATCCCGCCTGGTGGAACCCGTAGAACTAGGAACTGGTGGACATTACACATTCTATCCTTAAAAACGGTGTGGGGAAAATTGGCTAAATTGGGTTAGTTTGCTGAAACTTTTCAGCATACTGACTAAAACAAATAAATAAATAACCAAAATAAAAACAAAGAAAGGAAGAGCGAGAGAGAGAGAGAGAAATGCCAAGCCCTCTCTCAAAGGTATGTCTTAACTCTTGTCTCACACAGAAGGGAGTGGACCCTCCCAGCTCTCACCTGGGTGCTTCCCTTTCTTCCCCCAGTCTCCCACCCTGGGAGATC